TTCTCAGGTATCTCCTCCTTAGCGGAGTATCTCCGCCCCAGCCGGCACAAGCTCTAAATTACCGGCATATGTGATAGTGTAGCGCATGTGTTTGTGTATGTATATGTAATTGTGAGGATACGACAAGGATGAGGTAAAAATAATTGGTGGTTTGTAATTATTAATATTTATTTAAATAAATATTAAGATTTATTTTTATTGAAATTATTAAGAATTAAGTTGCAAAGTACAAAGAAACATTTTAATGTGTATTTTTCGAGAGCGTATTGCACAGCTTCCGAGGCCCTGCATATGCATCCAAGTTGTTTTTCGGTTCCATTCATTCTAGGGTTAAAGGAAACCTGCATTTTCGAGAATGCCATTCATGAATAATAGGAGAAATTCAATGTTATTCCCCTAAGTAGTTCATATCATGACGCTCCTTTTGAGACACTAATAACTGTCGTTCAGATTGAATTTATTTGCGCAGTATTTTTTTTTAAATCCAAGCCAGATCTCTGGTAATAATACCACAATGCAGTCATTTCTGCACAAACCAGTTGCAAGGGATAACCAAAAATGTATTAAAAGTTCTTAAAATCATCTTCATTAGCTCAGTCACAAAAATGTGAAGCAAGTTAGCTTTCACGAGAAAAACAAATAGACTTCTTCCTGTTCTTGTGTAAGTGCTTGTATTATGTCGTTTTCTGTTCCTGTAAAATGTAGCTTGTAAAGTATCGTTCCATAGGCTTGAAGATAATTGACATAACAATTAATTATTAATCGGAACTGTTTGAAAACAAGTGATAAAGAGATGTCTCTAAAGCCTAAATAAAATTTGACTAGGCGCGATAAAACTGCATCTTTGCCGATATTTAGCTTATTCAATCTGTATACTGCGACTTTTCATTTGCCATCAATCAGATTCATTTCCACTGTATTTCGCCTGCCTTTGAATTTATTTTCCAATGATAAACTTGTTATCACATATCGAGTTGCCTTTGTAGAGTTGCATTTACCATTGCAACACAAATTACTAGAGACCGTATTTTTACATTACATATTTTTTTGTATTTCCGCTTTCCATTCCCAAATCTTGGAGAATCTTCACCCTCCTGACACTATATCCAATTTTTTCGTTACATATTTGGTACTGTATTACATATCTTACATATTTTGCTGTTTTCAGATAATATTCTTATTCTATCAATTTTCTTCAATTTGATTACATATTTTTTATAAAAAGAAATATTTTCAAAAAATCAGCATTTTCCCCTTCATTATTGGTGAAATCTAGGTGTAAAAAATATTACTGACACCTCGTTTTGTGACATGAAATCTTCATTTCCGAGAAACATTTGCGATCGCCGACGTGTAAATTTCGACGAAAATGTTGAATGCTGCAGTGATTATTTGCTGGTCGCAGATATCGCCAGTGTGTACGATGGCTTCTGTTGCCACTAGTCTGGCTACTAAACTACAGTCCTGGATTGCAATAGATGAAGCTTTTACAACTGAGGAGAAAGTTGTATGACGCTGTGTGCATCAGCTTATGCTCTCTAAATGTTTATTAAAACATTTGTATTGCTTTTAAAAAATATTTAGACAATTTTTCTAAAAGTAAATTTGCATTATGTAAATGGTTTTCTAATTAGTGATTTTAATATTACATATTTTATCCGATTTTACATATTTATTACGTATTCTTACTGTTCTCATATTTTGACGTTCAATACTACATATTTTCCGGGCTGTACAAATAACAAACAATACTTTTCCATTAATTAAAAAGTAGTATATGCTTCTTAAACCCTTTGTGACGGACTTTTTTTTCTTGGGAGAAATGCTCATTACACCATCAATGATACTGAGGTATCTGGAATACATTTCCTCTGCCCTTCCTTTATGCGCCAGAAAAATTGAAATCGTAAGAGAGCTTACTTTGAGAAAACTCTTCAAAAATATTTCATTTCTGAACCAACTCACAACTACGATCAACATTACTTGGAAGAACGACCAGAAATAAATTTCATAATGAACGGATGAAGAGGTTTTGGGAGAAGAAAGCAAGTACACAGCTAAATAAGTGCAGTTGCGGTTCTCTGTTGGACAAAACGAATTAGCAAAATAAATAATAATAATAATAATAATAATAATAATAATAATGAAGAAGAAGAAGAAGAAGAAGAAGAAGAAGTTCGCGACAATCAGGCAATTCTGCAGCGCAAAGTGCGCAATTGACCATTTCGCCGGGGCTGCACTCTCGAATGGCTTGTCGCCGGCAGGGCCGCTGTTCAGGAAGCGAACGCGAGCACTTGTTTATCGGCGCTCAACCATTGCAAATATTTGTAGAGATAAGCAATGGTCGAAGGGATTTGCCCGTCTCGAACGGGAGGTGGAGGTGAATCACACATACCAGTGCAGTCTTCTCGCACAAAGTGATTTTGAGAGATATTTTCGATTCGAATATACGATTTATTTATGGTACAGAAATAAGTAAACTTTCTAATGCGTTGGAAGAATTAATCAGATACGACACCGGCTTAAATAAAATTTTTCTTTTGAATTATTTCGAATTCCAACAATTTATTTACTTTGTAGCATATTAATGTAATGTACGATATTAAGGCTCACACGGAATATTAGTGGTTTAAAAATACAATAACTTCACATCTAAATAATAAATGTTTCAAATAATAAATTCCCTCCCCATCATAAATTTATTCATTCATTACATGCAGCAACAACAATTAATCATTATTATCACGAAAAGAGACCCACAACTTGTAGCTTCTGTACACAAAGCACGAAAAAAAGAAAAGACGTTATTTGGGACATAAAAAATCATCTAATAAAACCATTTAATAAATCATCTAATAAAGTCATAGCGGAATCGCAAAAACGCTTAGACTTTGACTAAGCCACTCAACGTCACTAAGCTCTAGGAGAGTGAGACGGAAGATAAAAATAATTCCGATTACTTATCACAGTAATGTTTGCTACTCGTACTTTGTACGCTATGTTATACCTTGACAGTTAAGTTACTGTTTCAGCACCAGGAACATTCAAAAATAAAATTGCCACTCATCATGCATCATGAGATTCGTTAATGTCAGAGGCGTCTATCAATTCTAAACCATTAACTTAAGAGGACGAAAATGTTTAAAACTTTTTCTTAACACAACAATCATATTTTTATACATTAGACGATTAATCAAACTATTAATTATGTGAAATTAAATTGTAGGAACAAAATGAATAATTTTAATGACAATTCATTATAAATCGTCTTTAAAGTAATTTATTGCTGTAAAGAAAATCATATTTCAATGCAATTACTAGTTCTTTGGTAAAAAAACGGTAAATTATTGTATTTTCCGACATTCACATGAATTGTTAAGTCAGTTTATCCGATTGACCGTAATTAAAAATAATTTGTAATGAAACAAAACAACTAAACGACGCTTTTTGGAGTATTTTTCTATTTTTGGAAATGGACACGTCAGGCAATTGCAAACTATTTATAATTTATTTTTATTCTGGACTTTCATATTGCTTTATTATCAACTTTTAAATAAAACTTTTAGACATGAGCGTACTGCCCGGGGGCACCCAACTAAGCGAGTGTTAAAAATTCTAGCGAAGATCCTAACCACGTTACACGAGACATTTGGGAGGACATCCTGCACTGGCAAGTTTGGCAGGTGCACGTTGTGACGCAAAGACTTTTCGTGTATCTGCAAAACACCAGGGAAAGACAAATAATCAGGGGCAACTGTATCGTGTAGTTTCGTTATAAAAAATTACTCCATGTATTAACTGGCAATAGTCACCATCTTCGAACTTTCTACACGCCCTAGAATTTTATTCTGAATCACCTGTAAAATCCTAAGATGTATATACAGGGCCTTTCGAGGCCCTAACGTTTTTTATTTCGCGTTTTACTCTGCACAGCTGCGTTTCTGCGAATTTGAACTCGTGTATTATTTCATTTATCCTTCTATTTTCTGTTTAGTCACTGACGAAGAAAAACGTTTCAGAATTTGTGTAGATAGGACCAAATATTTTATTCTATTACGTCAAAGACCGGGAGAGATGGCTGAAATCATCAACTGTTTCTTCAGTCCCTCTGACCGGGAGGTCCTAGGTTCGAGTCCCGACGGTGACAGGATTTTCGACACGAGCTTCTCAACTAGGTCGAATCCAGTCGCTGTCTGGAGCATTCCAGCGGCCGGCTGCTCTTATCGGTAGTTTTCCGTGGTTTCTCAGTACCAGGCGAATGCCGGAGCAGTACCCTAACAAACGCGTCACGGTCCGCGCGTGATCTCTCCTACCTCTTCCTTGTCCTATCTTCACCCTCACGTACACACACACTAACATGCACGACACTACCTCACATGCCTCGTAACCGGTCGGGAGCCAAGAGCTTGTCGCTGCTGGGGCGGTGCCTCACTGGTGGGAGACACACGTTTGGGGAAAACCCCGTTAGTCGATTGTAGGTCGGCGCCGGATCTCGCCATCCACCTCCCGAGGAAGAGCATGCACTACACTAACGGAACTAATGGCCATTAGTAATTGACGCGCTCGTAATCATTACAATCAATGTATTACGTCATTGCACGTGCAGAGCTTTTCAGGCTATATTAATAGTATACATTTTATATCTTGGGTCGAGAGTCAGACTTCGTCGGGTAGTTAACTGTGTCTCCCACGCTTGGGCCCAGTTTAATTATCTACGTTTGAGGGTTAGTCAGACGTCGTCGGGTAGTTAACAGTGTCTCCCACGCTAATTATTCACGCTTGAGGGTTAGAGACACATGTGGCGAACACGAGGTATTTCCTTCGTCGTAACTATTAGAATCCGCCTGCCCGACCTTTTCTTCGTCACACCACTACGAGAACTGACCCGATTTTTTTGAAAGGAAAGCTCCAAGTCTCTTTTTGCCCCGACCGAGAATGTCATCCCAGCGCTTGCCGAGAGCGTGCGGTGGTGTTGAGGTGGTGGTGGCGGTGGTGCGCAGGTGTCGCTGCCGACGCTGGCGCTGTCGTACGGCGCGGTGGTGGTGCGCGACGCGGCGGCCGGGGCGCCTGCGCAGGCGCTGCCGCCCGACGGCGCCTCCGCGTGGGACGGCACGCCCCTCTGGGTGCCCGCGCTCTTCAGCGCCGCCTGGAGCTTCACAGGTGAGTCGCCGCCCCCGGGAATCGACGTTCCAGGTCCTACACTTGGAATTGGTATTTAACCGTTTTGCACGCCCTGGCGGGCAGCAATTGACTGCAATCTCGCTCTTCTGCGCATGCGCAGATGCGCAAAAGTGATACGAAACTTGAACTGCGCATACGCAGAAGATCGACAGGCTTTCGATCGCTTTAACGTTTGAGGGTGCAAAACCTCCCCATTATATGTTCATATTATATTATATTTATGTAAAGGGAAATTGGCCTCACCGTCGTTAGATCTCGGGATACCTGGTCGGTCACCCAACCAGTAACCCGGGATGTCTCAAATTCGCTCCATCTTCGTGTCTTCACGTAGTTAACGAATACGACTAGCGACGCTGATTTCCCGGTCGTGGTCTTTCAATAGAACCATCCCAGCCGTCGCAAGATGACTGAGGAAAGCCACGAAAATCCCAGTCAGGGTGGCGGGATGAGGATTGAACCTGGGTTTTCTAAATGCTTATTTATGTGGTAGAAGTGACATTTTGTTTCGCGAGTAGGAAAGCTTGCGAGCCGAGGCGGAGATGTCTAGTAGCGCAGTCGTACGAAAAATATAAAATAATTATTTTGCAAATATTCCTAATATTGCTATTTTTATTTTTTTACTTTAACTTTATATTTACTTTTAAATTTTAAAACATACCACCGGTGTCATACACTATTTGTTTAGACGCTTTTATTGTTATTCAAGCACACAAATCACTTTATTGGGTACCATTTTAAGATCAGTTGTAACTAATGAGATGAAAGAATTGTTTTCTTTGTTGCATTCACACGTTTACTTCAACTTTTCAGCATCGTCTTACTTTCAGCACTGCAAAATATTGTGTGCCAAATATTGAACTTTTCGCTCACTCTGAATGCTCTAAAAATAACCGATTTTACTAGTCACTGTCTAAAAACAATATTTTTGTTCATATTAAAAAAGTAGAAGCAAGAAACAAACAAAAATTAATTGCAATTAAAAAAGTAAGGAACATTACCTATCACTTTATAATTTACTATACCTAGTATGCATAGTGCCATCTATAAACTCAAAAATACATTTACATCTGCTTCTACGTAAGGTATAATTTAGAAATATTAGTAACTCACATGGTAAGTAAAAATTTGCAAAACTTTAGATCATTGTATACTGACTTACGTCGTATACTCAGGGATCTGCAAAACCAGGAAATAAACTTTTATAAAAATACAGATACCCACAAAAGCAAGTCCCTTCTAACTGTTTTAATAAATACAGAGTTCAAAAGATAGCAGGAGCATGCAGCAATGTGTGTGTGTGTGTGTAAACGTACTCTGCAATTGGTTAGCGCCGCATGGCAGTTATTGGCGTGTTGGACGTGCGTTCATGAGCATGGCTCCCACCAACACGTCCCCTTCGCTTTACATTTGTGTATTGTTCTGCTTTTCTAACATATTTAGTATGTTAATAAGTATACGAGAAGAGTGGGAGTGGCTAATGTGTCCATGTGTGTGTGTGTGTGTGTGTGTGTCGCAGCGCCGTGGGGCCGCGTGGTGGCGGGCGCGCGGGGCGCCAGGGCCGCATGCGCCGCGGGGGTGGCGCTGGCCGCCAGCGCCCACGCCGCCGCCGCGCTGCTCGCCGCTGCCAACTCCTCCGTGCACTCGGCGCTCGTCGGCGTCGCCGCGATGCTCGCAGGTGAGACGCTTACCTCCGCTATAGGACGGGATTCTAATCACACGTCTCGGAATAAATGTTGCAAACTTCTCCAATGAGGGGTCGAAGATGATCACCTTTGGCATTGGCGGATGTGATAGGGAATATCGTATAACGAATTAATCTATGTGACTTTCGCCTCTGATTGGGAGGCAACTCGTGTTTCACAGGGACACGTTCTGACACAGTCAAAGGTATTTCGTGTACCTACAAACAACTGTGAAAGACGAATAGACTTCCAATCGGGGGCAAGAGTCATTTGAAAGAAGAAAAGAGCGGAAGGAGAGAAATTGGACAGAGAAAGAGATGGAAAAGGTAAAGGGAGGTCGAGAAAAACGAGCATGGAGAGAGCATGGGAGTAGAGATATTGAAATAGGCCATTGAGCTAAGAAGGAAATAGAAGAGGGGAAGGAGTGAAGGGTAAATTTATGCCAAGATGGGGGATAATGAGGGTAAGGGAAGAAGAGAGTTAAGAGGTAAAAAAGAGAGAAGTAAAGTGTTAGATGGAAAAGATTGACGAGGAAGTGTGAAGAGCACAGCGTAGAAAAAGTGGAAAGAGGCCTAGAGAGAAAAGGGGCAGAGAGACAGACAGAGGAGAAAAGCAGTAGAGTGACATGAGGACAGAAGATGGGGAGTGGGAAAGAGAAAAAAACGGTGGACCAAATTGAGGGAGATTGAGAAACGGGGAAGATAAATAGTTGATTGAGTGAGAGATGGAGCAAGGGGGAAAGGGAAATCAGAAGAAGTGGAGAGTCGGATGAGAAGAGCAGATGAGAGGGGAAGTAGCAAGGGGGAGGAGAAGAAGTGGAGAGACTTGAGGAGACAAGAGGGAGAAAGGATAAGGGAAGATATGGATTGACAGATGGAGAGAGGAGAGAATGCAAGAGTTGAGAGCTGTAAAGGCGAAAGGGAAGGAATGGTTAGTGAAGGGAAGGGCGTGCATCTGGGCCGTTGCAGGGAGCGGATGCAGCGTGGCGCTGTTACTGCCTGCTGCGCCGCTACTTCCAAGAGGTCACAACGGAAGGGTAGGAATGGCTAGGGAAGGAAAGGAATGGCTAGTGAAGTTAAGGAATGGCTAGAGAAAGGAGGGAATGGCCCGTGAAGGGAAGGAATGACTAGTGAAGGGAAGGAATGGCTAGTGAAGGGAAGGAATGGCTAACGAAGGGAAGGAATGCGTAGTGAAGGGAAGGAATGCCTAGTGAAGGGAAGGAATGGCTAGTGAAGTGCAGGGCGTGCATGCGGGCCGTTGCAGGGAGCGGGTGCTGCGTGGCGCTGTCGCCGCCCGACTGCCTGCAGCGCCGCTACTTCCAAGAGGTCACAACGAAAGGGTAGGAATGGCTAGTGAAGGGAAGTAATGGCTAACGAAGGGAAGGAATGCGTAGTGAAGGGAAGGAATGCCTAGTGAAGGGAAGTAATGGCTAGTGAAGGGAATGAATGCGTAGTGAAGGGAAGGAATGGCTAGTGAAGGGAATGAATGCCTAGTGAAGGGAAGGAATGGCTAGTGAAGGGAAGGAATGGCTAGTGAAGTGCAGGGCGTGCATGCGGGCCGTTGCAGGGAGCGGGTGC